GCGGGGCCGCGCACGCCGAGAGCCATGTGCAGAGGCTGCGCACGGGGAGTTAGGCCCCGCACCCCACCACCCCCGCACCTGCCGCCGGGTTCTTTTCTCGAGGCTTCGAAGAATGGCAGAGAGTAGGGGCGTGGATTTTGTGATCTTTCCTAATTCGTTCGCGCTGATTTAAGTTTTAGAACAGACAAATTAGAAGAATCCCAACATTCTTTTCACCAGATGGAAAGAGGAAAATGACTTTGGTAAATGAAAATTGTGATTTTCAGATTAGTAGCCTTACAAGCATTTTTCTAAGCCCAGCCTTAGCATTGATCTCTTCCCCCTCGTGTGGCACCTTTTTTCACGACATTAAGACGGGTTGAGAATAAATACAGTTTAGGTATCCAGTTATGTGCAGATTAATACAATTTGTGGCAAACCCTGCGCAACGGTTAAAATTATCTCCATTAATTTAACACCTTGATTGAGGTATAATTAATAAACTGCAGGTATGAAATATGCAGTTTGATTAGAGCAAACACTGTTGAAATCATCCTCACCATCCAGATAACAATCATTTCCTTTACCCTTCCCTCCAAAAAGTTTCCTTATACCCCTTTATAATACTTGGCTCCCCAACCTACTACAAGTAACAGATTCTGCTTTCTGACACCATACATGAGCTTGGCGTTTTCTAGAATTTGGTGTTAATGAAATCATATAGTATGTACATTTTGCCTGGTTTCTTTCACTCAGCTTAATTATTTTTGAGATTCATCTATTTCATCGTATGTATCAATAATTTGTCGCTCTTCATTGTATAACAATTTATCTGCCTTTTGGTGGACATTTGAATCGTTTCCAGTTTAGGGTTGTTTCAAATAAAACTGCTGTGAACAATCAGGTAGGTGTAAGTCTTTGTATAGGCATATGCTTTCTTTTCTTGTTAATACCTAGGTTACGTCATATAGTTGTTTAACATTTTAAGAAACTGCTAGACTGTTTTACAAAGTAGTTTTACTATCTTATTTTCCCACTAGAAGTGTTTAATACGAGTTCTAGTTGCTCTATATCCTATCATTTTATATGGCCAGTGTTTTTAACTTTAGACATTTATGTATAGTGGTATCTTTTTGTGGTTTTAATTGCATTTCTCCATTGACAAAATATTGAGCATCTTTTTGCATTTATTTTCTATCCATATAGCTTCTTAGGTGAAGACTCTGTTCAAATCTTCAATGGAATTTTTTTCAAATTTTCAGTGGAGTTTCTGAGTATATATACTGTGAGTACGTCTCCAGATTTGCAAATATTTTCTCCCAGTTTGTGGCATGTCTTTTTCATTCTCTAAAAAGGGTATTTCAAAGAGTTCTTGATTTTGACGAAGTCAAATTTATCATTTTTTTTATGGCTCTTGCTTTTGTGTTGTAGCTAAGAGGTCTCTAGCTAACCCAGACCACAAAAGGTTTCTTCCATATTTTCTTCTAGAAGTTTTACATGTTTAGACTTTACATTTAGATTTAAAATTCTTTTTGAGTTGACTTTTGTATAAGATGGGAAGCATGAATCAGTTTATTTTTACATATGAATATTCATGTTGCGCTCTTATCAAGCCTTATTCCACGCCCTGATCCAATACCCTCACAATCTACCCCCAGACATATTTTCTGCTAATACATTTTAACCAGAACCTACGATTCATTCAGATTGTAACCTATCTGCCTGTAGGAAGTACTGAATTTCCCACAGGGTATGCTGAGACCTGAGCCAAGTCATCAGTTTGAAGTCAATGAGAGTTCGCAGAGGTGGGTATTGAGGAGGAGAAGTGCCATCTTACAATGCAAGTGTCTCACAGGTGCAGGCTGTGCTCCTCTAGCAAAATGGAGAAGGCTGCTTCTGCCAGCTGAAGGGTTCAAGAAAACCTGAGGGTTCAAGATCAGACTCACCAACACAGATGTCCCCAACCCACAATTCAGAGTTCCAACCTTATCCTGTCGGCATGCTGACTTTGTTGGAAGAAGTGATCCAGGCTGTGCACTTTCCTTTACAGGCTTGCCACTTTACTATTAGATTTGGGCCGACTGTCAGTGCAGATTGCCTGCATCTACAGGAAATGAGGCTTTTTCAAAAGGGTGATGTTGAGGCATTCTGGCTTTCAGAGCATGCCTTGACTTAAGGAGCTAACATGAACCTATGTCATTTTTTTTTTCAAGACTTCTAAATTAGTTAACAATAGCTAACCAAAACCTCCATCTTTATCATTTCCATTAGTCCTATTCCACTGTAATGCAACAGCTACTGTATAACCTAATGCCTCACCTTCCACCCACACTTCACCCAAATCCACTACAGTAACTGATGCATCTACATGCCAGGAATTATCACTACCCCACTTAACACCAGCTATGGGGTCTTTATTGTCATCTGTCCAATGAATTATCTAGTCATGGAATCCCATCCTGAAGGTTTGCTTTCTAAGTATGTTCCTGGTACCCATCCTAACCTGGGTTTAGCCCCAACCCAAAAGCAAAGCCTAAGACAAATGTTTACATACAGGTAATTTGAGAAGTGATCCTAGGCAAACTGTTCACACAGACCCAGAGAAAATCCCCAAGACTGAAGAAAAGAAACAGGCCACTGCAGTCTGGCAGTTAACAGTTTATTAAGGGAAACTTACACGTGAGGCACATCTCGGGCAGCTGCAAAGTGGATATCGTCTGTGCTGCTTGGCAGACACCAAAGAATTATATAGAACAGGGCAGGTTGGACGGGGGTACTGGTACGTGATCAGTCCTAGATGCGAGAAAATGCCTTATGTGCTTGCCTGGGTTAGGACAAAAGCCTCTTCTAGGAACCAGCATAACGTGAGACACAGGAGAAGTACTGGTTTATGTCAGAAGGAAAATATCAATTTTGAACAGACAGTCTATGAGAGGGCTTAGGAGAAGCAATCTCTTTTGGCTCAGGCCCAGCTTGTGGGTCCAGGAGCAGTCACATCATGGAACAGGCTCTCTTCCACAGAACCAAAGAGAGGGATCAGGGAGTAGAAAAAGAGGAAGCTAAATAAGGCTCTATTATAGAGTTGGCCACTATTATGGGTGACTAGTGCTCAATTCCACAAGATTTTCTGAGGAAGCTTATGAAAGGCACCTCAGAATTGTCTTCCCAGCAGACAGAAAAGGGAGTATTTATCTATGGGCTTCCACCTCCCATTAGTCAAGGGTGGTCTCAAAGTCATTAACTCCCCCATATCTTTTATACACGTATGATGCAGAGGGGTTCTGGGGATACCCCAAACCATGGGGTCAGAGGATCTCTGAAGAAGAAAATCATGACGGTCCCAAGACAAATGTCATCAAATGGCTTCCACGGGAAGCTGTCAGAAGGCTCCTTGGAGGTGTTTCACAGCAGTAAGAGGAGTAAGAGATGGGTTCAAAAAGATCTGAAGTGGCACACAAGGGGTGTCAATACAGTTATATAGAGCTCATAGTTAACAAAACAACTTAAAAATCAGTAGATACTGCTACAAAATGATTAGATAATTTTGAAATAGTTTTGGTTAAAAACAAAAATCAATATTACAAAGTTTAAAAAATAAAAAATTAAGGATTTAACGTACTATTTTGAATGAACCAGTGGCCCTTAAATATTTGTTCAAAAATGTCGATAACTTCTGTAATTTTTTTAAATAGCTTGAAAAAATTAAATTATGATAGACTGAAATTTACTGTACTTTCAAGTTTTGACTAATATGAAAATAACCTCATTTGTTAGGAGAGAAAAAAGTATGTACAAAGTAGTAAATCATGAATTTTGTCAAAATATAAGGCTTTTTCACTTATTTAAGTAAATTAAGGAAACATCCAAAAAGACATTTTTACACACTAAAAGTAAATAATTTGTGAGAAAATAAACTATATTATTATATTTAAATAAACACAGAAAAGATATATTTAGATGATGGTTTTAATTTCCCAAATAGTCTTCATGAAGGTTTTGAACTTGATGGCAACGGTGCTTTTCCTTTATGCTTAGCAGCCTTTTCCATTTTTATCTGTAAATTTAAAATATTGATATAATTCATAAAATATCCTAAAGGAAAAAGGTAGCACATACTTCATTTGAATTCATGTTTTATTCATCACAGCCATTTCACAATTACTTAGCAGTTATTAAACTGTTAAATACTAAAGCCAAAATCTGATAAAGGGACTAATTACATTTTTAAAATGTGGTTTGATTTCAACTTTACATAAGCATTTTAATAAAAATAACATAATGAATATTACTTTGGAAAAAATGAATAAATTAAGTTTAATTACCACTAAAATTTTTTTAAGCTGAAATACCTAACCCTTACATCCAGCCTAAGCACATTCCCTATAGGGTTACAGAATACACCTAATCCGGCTGGATTATCTCTGGAACATGGACTGCTTTAAGGATAATTCTGGTTTCTACATTTCCATGGATGCCTACCTTCCTGAAGGTTGTCCTTCTCCATTGTAACTGAAGCAAAGAAGTAGCTTGCATAAATAACCTAAATAGCATCAATCTGATATTTTAGAAACATATAAAGCCCTTCTATGGGAAAAAAGATCCCAGAGAACATAAAACCCACCTGTCTCATACTACCACTCACACACATACCAATTCCCAGAGACGGCACCACCGACTTACCCTTGCAAGAGAAGGGCAGAGAAAACATGGGGCATGGCAGGGGGAGGCAGGGCCTCTTATCTTCTAAGGTGACAGGAATAACATCAAGAAACCAGAAGGGACGTGGTAAAAGCACTCTCCCTGATCTCATCAAATTGCAAATAACATCCCAATCATAAAATCAGATGAATCTTACCTGTCTCTTCCCCATTTTTCCCTCTCTCTGTTCTTTGAGACTGTTGGGAACCTTATTCAGAAATCATACACTTTTTTTTTGCTCTCCCATTCATATCACTCTTGCACACTGTATCAGTCAACAGGTCACCTGAAGGACCCCCAAGGAACACCTTATTCTAAGCCAAATATTATAGGCTTTGGAGTCAGATAAAAGTATTTGAATCCTACCTCTATCATTTATTATTTGAAGCAAGTTCTTTAACTAACAGTTTTCTCATTTGTAAAAAAGGTCACAGTAATAGGTACTTCTCAGGGTTCTTCTAAAGATGTAAATAAGATCATATATATAAAGATCAGGGTATTTAATAAGCACTCAACAAATGCTAGCCCCCTTTCCCCTCCCATTGAGGGCCAAGTGTTAGATTTATAGTAACATCAAAAAAAGCAAAGATACTAAATAAACAAAAGTCAGGAAAGTGTTTGCTCACTTGAAATACAGGTATACCTCGTTTTACTGTGCTTCTGTTTATTGCACTTTACAGATCCTGCATTTTTCACAATTTGAAGGCAAGACCCTCCACCAGCAAAAAGATTACTCACTTTATTCTATTATTCACTTTATTGAGGTGGTCTGGAATCAAGCGCAATGTCTCCCAGGTATGTCTGAACATACCATTGCTTTGTAAAGCGGCTCTGAACCCAGCAGATTCAGTTTCTTAATGAGCTCTTTTTCCTCAATGGTGTATGTCTCGTTTTTTTTGGAGTAAAAGAAGAGTAGTAACAATGGTGTATGGTACATGTCAGCTCAGAAGAAGTTGTGTAGGTTTGAACTTCTTAGTGTTTGTACTGCATTAATCATACAGGGAGAGTTTATAAGCTATATCTCATAAATCCATAAATCACACAAACCAGAGAGTTATCAACTACATCTCATAAATCCATAAATTCTAGGTCTATTTATAATAAGCAGTCTGTGTAGGCCAGGTACATCCTCTAAAACATTCACAGATAAGAACTCCCATTATCTTCCCACAAGCAAATACCACTGGCATGTTTTCAAGGCAGTCATCAGCATCCGGGCTTCTGAAGGAGGGAAGAAAGGCACCCTAGAACCCTGTCCCTCATAAGCCTGTGAGGAAAAACTAAAATTCAGCCGTGACTGTTTGTGTTTCAAGAACAGACTGATATGATTAAAAGTCTCCCCTTGATGCTGCTGCAAAAATAGCCTTTTCTTTTCTTTTCTCACTCGAAGCATTTCATCTCCCTCCCTGAGATCCTACCACCACTTTCCCTTAGACCAAAGCTTTCCAAAAACTTTCTGCATTATCCAATAAGGTAAGCACTAGCCACATGTGGCTACAGAGCCCTTGAAATGTGACTGAGGAAATGAATTTTAAATTTTAATTTATTTAAATTTAGACTTATAGAGCCACATACAATGAATGGCTATAGCACAGATATAGAACATTTTAATCACTGCAGTAAGTTCTGTTTTCTAGCTCTGCCTCATACCATATGAGGACTCTTCCCTCCACTTCAAAATTCTTAGTCAAGAAAACCAAGCTAATCTCTCTATCCCCTGCTCACTTCCTCTGCTCTTGGATAGTGAATTTATTTAATGGTCTCCTTTTTCCACACCTTCAATTACTGAACAAGCTCTTAAGAGTTATATAGGATACAACAAAAAGTGTGTGGCATTTATTACCTAGTTGGAGAGATAAGAAATGCCTACAAAGCAACTATAAAATAATCCTAAGGAAAGCACTTTGGGAAATGTGCCATATGGCTGGATACCATCCCCCAGACCTCATTAAGCCAAACATCCTTTCATCTGGTGATAAACAGAAACAAAGCTCTCAAATACAAACACTGCCACGAAACACATCAAATGTGTAAGTAGATGACATGTAGGAACAAGAATATCAATTATATCTATTTATTTTTTCAATTTTCCATAAATAGCTATTGAAAAAGTATTATGTACAAGAAGGCACTGTACTTAGTTCCCCTAAAAAAATACAAAGAAGAGTAAAATACTACACTTATCCCTAAGGAGTTTACAGTGTGGTGGAGAAATGATGAAAATTATCATTACTGATATCTGAGAACACATCAATACTGTAGCTGATAAGCCCTGGAAATTGTTAAAATACATTGTTTAGTGTTCTGTTTCTTAAAGGCAATCGGGTAATTTTAACGAGTCTAGCTAAATGTAGAAGTCACTAAGAAAAACTACTATATATTATGAATTCAAGATTCATACAATTTACAAATCTGCTGATGATTGATGGTTGTTATTGGCAATTTTACTTATATATTTAGTCAATCTTAATGACCTCCATAAATTAACCTGCGGGTTATATTTCATATTATTCATCAGTCCTGTTTATCTCCAAATTGTTTTAAATAGGCCTCAGGGCCTAAAACCTGCTATAAGTAAAGACTTTATGAACTTTTTTAAATGACAATCCACATCAGTGTATAATCGTTCTATAGCATCTTTGTTACAAGTAAATGCTTAATGTAAGCAGATTTCTCCACAGACTTACCCTTTCCTGGTATCGTCTTTCAAAGAAAGCCATATCGTCCTCGTCAGGTTTCTTGAAGGAAGAAACTTGACTACTTGTACCTACTAATAAGAAAACAAATTCTAAGTGATATATTTCTATAATTATAAAATCTGAAATTAAAAAAAAATAACTTTCCTTCTACCTGGTGATAATTTTTTATTTTCAAACCAGAAATGGTCTAAATGAAGAATTGATCCTACTACCTAATTCTTTTTTAGAATACAGAGCATCATAAGACAAAAGTAATTTTCATCAGCAGACATTCTCCAAGTATTCAGCTGGTTCATATGAAATAACACCATATAGCGATTTCATATAAGAGCACACTTAGCTTTGTTCAACTACATTTTACATTTTATAACTAAATTAGCAAGTCACATAACACTGTAACAATGAACAGAAGTAATTGTAGAGGCGCTATGGTCTGAATGTTTGTGTTCCCCCCCCAAAAAATTCATATGTGATGATGTTAGGAGGTGGGGCCTTTGGGTGGTGCTTAGGTCCTAAGGGTGGAGCCCTCATGAATGGGATTAGTGTTCTTATAAAAGAGATCCCCTAGAGCTCCGTAGTCCCTCGATGTGCACAGAGCTTCCACCATGTAAGGACACAACAAGCGGGCACCAGCTATGAATCAGGAAGACCTTCACCAGAACACAAGCACGCTGGCACCTCGATCTCAGATTTCTCCACCTCCAGCACTGTAAGAAATAAATTTCTGTTGTCTATAAGCCAAAATACCAGCCTATGGTATTGTGTCCTAGCCACCCAAATGGACTAAGACAGTTTGTGAAGGCAACCGTGATTATACTACCTGCTTTGAAGTTTTCAAAACAAATCATTTTAACCATTTTCCATGGTATTCGCTTGTTAAAACTATAATCAAGCATTAGTTTTTGTGCTGAAAGAAATTTTAAATTGCTTCAAAAGGAAAATCTGGGGGTTTTTTTGTTGTTGGTACACCAAGAGCCTAGTTTCATGGAAAAGTTCACCCTTGTTTCAGGTAAATGCCTTGGTTGGGTCCCTTCATATCCAAAATAGAGTATCAACCTGAACACCTGTTCTAGTTTTTAAAGCACATGAATTCACTCTCAACCAGCAACACAAAAATCACATAACTCCAAACAATTATCACAGAGTATAACCACACTCTAACAAAAGCCTAGCTGAGAAAAATTGATTAGAATATGGGCTATCTATTCATTTGTCTGAAAACTCTGGGTCTTTCCCTGGATCATGTTGGACTGTCTGAGCTAAGCCTCGTGTAGAATCACCTTCACTGAGTTGCATTTTAATGGTATGTTACCATTTATCTGGTAAAATGCTATATTACCACTTTTATCAAAGAGACTATTAGAAATGAGCAACCATACACTGCATTTGCTAAAAAAAAAAAAAAGTTTCTAAGGACCTTAGGCCACTGCATCACTGAGGGTCACTATACAGACGTCTTTAAAATCCAGCGTTGGTGTAACTTCCTTTAGCACTGAGGAACTCATGTTTCCTCCTTTCTAATGAGAACACATATTTAACTGATTCACACCTTCCTTTGTGCCTTGGCTGCCACTACATTCAGTCAAAACTGAAGCTTAATGCAGCAATTACATCGACCTTGAAAGTTGACGCGATTGTGTCCTTTTTCTTGGTTTTGGTCTTCTATCTCTATTTTATCATTACTTCATTGTGTGTTATTTTGTAAGCAGCAGACTTAAAATCTCTTGTGGAGAAAGTCAGGGTGCATGAAAAGGTTGTATGAAAACTAATAAATCAAAGAAAATTCTCATTTTAAAATATTTTTAAACGTGAAATACCTAGTAAATCATGCAAATTCCTTCTTCAATGTTTTTGTTCTTGCTTTCAGTAAAGGAAATAGAACACCAGTGCTTAGAAAATGAATCCTATTCATTTTTAATATATAATTTATAATGATAAAACCTTGCTAACCTATAATCATCACTGGATTACATCCTGGTTGGGAGACCCCGAAGGATCAAGGCAATTAGTCCACTAAAGGGCTCCCTTATTCAGACATCGAAGCAATAATGTATACCAGAATAAGGTTTTAAAACTTCAAATTACTGTATTACCAGTTTCCTCATAGTTCTCAGGTTTAGCAATTTTTTCCCAATAAAAAATAAGGTTTCTTGCTTTTTCTCAGCTCCTGGCCAATACAAAAATAAAATGATAATCAAATGGTGATAATAATGGAGAAAAAGAGAGAGGTCTAGAAAATTAATCTATATTCTTATTTTCTACATCCAAAATATTTCTCAATCTAATTTCATTACCATCTGTTAGTGTTTCTGGAGAAGATGATGCTTGAAATGCTTTTAGAAACGGGTGGTCCGTGGCTGTAACTGGAGAGTCTAAAAATTCAGCTGAAGGTGCACCTGATAACAAAATACATGAAGAATGAAAATTAAATCTCCATTCTTTAAGATACAAAGTTATTTCAAATGTGAAATAAATTAGAACCTCAGCAGAATCATTAGAAAAATCCTTCCTGTAAAAAGGAAAGTTTCATTTCGTTTTTATCTGCCATATAAAGTAAAGGCAAAAGGGTAAAAATATTTTTGTATTTCTCAGAAACCTTTTTCACAGAAAAAAATATTATGCACAAATGTTAATTTCAGCAAAGAAGTACAGAACCTTAACATAGTTACAAAACACTATCAAAATCAAGACATTTGTGATAAAGAACCTCTAGTTGAAGAGGGAAGAATAAGTATATTTTTACTCTATTCCTCACTGAGAAACCATCTGAAAACAAAGTTTAAGAAATAAAGAAAACTTTAATGAAATGAGGAACATCTGCAACCCTAAACCACAACCTACAAAGACCAACTGCTAAATACAATGACTTTTGGACCAAAAGGAAGGAAGCAGCAGAGAAAATTTAAAAGTGCTGTATCTTCTTCACAAACCACACCTCCCCCACATCCTATCTCCATCCCGTGGGTAGAAGAAAATAAACTTTTAGTCCTATTCGGTTTCAAAAGCTAGTCCTTTCTTATAAATGTAAACAACATAGGGCAATTGCTCAGTCCTTCAGATTCCCGCCCCTCCCCTTCCCCAGCTCCTCTCTCCTGTGGTTTGTGGGACTATGAGATGGGGGCTCAGGTCTGCTCAGGTCCGCTCAGGTCCAAGTGCTGTCCTCTGGTTGCTGCGTGCACTCCAGATGTCAAATGCTCAAGGCTGGCCTAAGTTGTAATTTAGTCTTTCAGTTTGGTAGGGCCTGGTAGCTTCACACTTGCTCTCGACAGAAGTACCCTCGAGGCCTGCTGTTTCCTGCCGTTTCCTCCGCTGAATCCCCCCAGAGCATAGGGGACCCACCCCTAGCTCTGCTCTGGTGTCACTGTTGCCTCTTGCTATGACAGATGCCACTGCAGGCCCACTGCCTCACAGTTCATTAAGAGTTGGAAATTATGGGCTCCTGGAAATGTCAGGAAGCAGTCTTCTCTGTCCAGGGTTCCGCATGGCTAACAGAGCAGACATCCCTCTACCCCAGGCTCCCCTATATCTAAAATTTAGACAAAATATCTTATGTTTCCTCTCCTCACTTTACCATGCTTCACCCCACCGTCCCACAGGGGCCAGAAGGGGCAAGTTTTCTTCCTTTACATTATAAAGATGCTTAAGTGATAAAATACTAGAAGTCACAAAAAAGGCAAAGATGCCAGCTACTACCACTATTACTCATCACTGCTCTGAAAAAGTACCAAACATTTTGATTAGTCAAGAGTAAGAAAAATCACATATTGGTAAAGAAACGGTAAAAATATCATTATTTGCAAAATCAACTAAATATTTATTTAAAACTTTAAGTATAGTAATAATGACTGGTAACAAAAGCAACATAAAACATTTTCTATTTTATATACAAACAATAATCAGCTAGAAAATATAAAGGAAGAGAAAAAACCCAGGTATGTAAGCTATTTTAAAAAGATAAAATATTCATACGTAAAATTAAGAAAAGTTGTGTGGGACTTTTATGAAGATAACTTCAGAATTCCACTTAGCTAGACAGAAGACAAATGAAGACTCAACATTTTAAAATATCAATTCTTCCTATATTAATCTGTACTTTACAATGCTTTTATAATAATAGAATGTGTTTCAAAAAATGATGCCAAAGTTCTGAAAAAATTAAAAGCTAAGAATTGGTCAGGAAAATTCTGAAGTAATACAATGAAGTTATAAATATTAATTTATTATAGAGCTGTAATAATGAAAACAATATGGCAGCTGCACAGAAAATAACAACATTGAGGCGAACTAACAAGCAGAGAACAATTTCTAGGTTGAACCAAAGGAACCCTACCACTTACTAGCTAAATCACACAGAACAAAATGTTTCACTTCTCTGTGCAGAGGTTCCTCATCTGTGAAACAGGATTAATAGCAGCATCTAACTCAAGAGTGGTTGTGAGGATTAAATGAGGTAACAGATATAAAGAGGTTGGAACAACTCTTGGCAGTACAAAGCTGAAATCATCATCGGCAACATCGTTATCATTCATTTTTTGCCACTGGTAATTGAGTTTTCTGCAACTGTTGCATGTGCCTAATAGAATCATGCATCCATGAAAACTGAAAAAGGATTTATTTATAGAGTTTAACAAGCTAGAGAAAATGCACAAATATATCAAGGCAATCTTGGGGAAAAAAAAAACACATACCAAATATGAAAACACACTATGAAGAATAACAATTAAAAATATGTAATGTTGGCACAGGATAGACAAATAGGCCAATGGAACAAAACAGAGGGTATGACAGAATATGATAAAGTTTCAAATTATTTGGGAAAGATAACTTGCCATCAATTTGAACAAAAACTGAAGTCATACACATCTCACACTTTCACAAAAAAATAAATTCCAGATGCATTAAAAACTAAACATAAAAACAAAAAATAATTAAAGTAAAATGAAGAACATATTTATAAAATTAGGGCAGGGAAGGCCTGCCTCCAAAATTTAAAAACTATAGGAAAAAAAAAAGACTAAAAGAAAATGCCAGATTGGAAGATAGTATCTGCAAAAGAAGTAACTAAGGATTAGTATACAGAATCTATAAGACTTTCTAAAAATCAATGAAAAAAGATAAAAACAAAAATGAGCAAAGTATATGAACAGGCAACTCACAGAAAGTAAAATGGCCAATAAATATGGGAAAACGCTCATCTCACTTATAACCAGGAAAATCAAACTGAAACAATGATAACGTTTTCACACATCAGACTAGCAAAAACTTAAGTTTAAGAATATCAGTGATTAGCATAAATGGGAGGAAATGGTAAGCTAAAACATCACTAGAGGAACTGTAAATAAGCAGGTTTGGAGGACAGTTTGACAGAATGGATTGAAGTTTCACATGTCACACTTCTCTGTACTCTATATCTACCTCAAGAGTCAAATTCACATGGTATATAAGGAAGCAAGGTCAAGGATTTTTCTGGAAGGATTGTTTGTAAAGGCAAAAAAAAAAATGGAAACAATCTAAATGAGATAAACGAAATGGTTTAGATAAACTGATATATCTATTGTGTGGAATACTAAGCAGCAGTTAAAAAGAATTAAGTAGACTTGTGTGTCCTGACATAATAGGCCTTCAAAATTTTTTCTGAGTTAAAAAAAAAGTAAACTATAAAAATGAATGTTAAAAAGGAAAATTCATATCAATTGATGACAGCGAATACCCTGTGGGCAAGAATCTGGGGTAAACACAAATGTTCAAGGTGGCCTTCATTTCTATTGTTTGAATCTTTTATAACAAGAAAATATTCATTTATAGTCATATAATTTTTGTAATAAAAAAATTAAAATATATGCTTGTAAAAAAAAATCCACACACACAAAAGCATTTAAAGAAGATAGAAGCCATATTCTTCTTCTCAATCCCACTTAACTCAGAAGGCTCCAGTTCTCTGCAGTGGTTTGAGATATATCCAATTAAATTCTCCCCACACTTCTTAAAAGTTCTATGTATACAAGCAGATATGTGTATCTATATACGTATGCAGACATACATGCGAGCACGATTATAGATGTGATTACATGTGTGATTACATGCACATGCGTATTCACAAATGAACAGAAGCCCACGTCTCCAAAATGAAATGGTCAAAACGGCAAAAATTGCATACAATAGGGTAATAGGTAAACTATATATCAAATAAAAGAAATAGTATTTGGCTATTACAAACAACAGGGCTGGGGTTTGGGCACAAGTATTGGGATAGGAGTGATCTTTTTTATGTTTTCTAAATTTTCTTTAATGACTATTGTATAGTAGCAATAAAAACTTTTCAAAAAGATCATCAAATGAGAGAATTTTTCTGGAAAAAAAAAAACATGAAGAATACAAAGTGCTAAACAAAGAGAAGGCTTCACTATTATTAGCACACATATAAACAACATGACAAGCCCACATTTCTGTGTCATCACTTACCAACTCCGCTGTCATCTAACCGCATGTAGCCTTCTGCCAGTGAGCTGAAGCCAGTTAATCCTCCCATTGCTGCATAAGGAACGTCCCGTCCTACTGGTTTTCCCTGAGCCAATCTTTCTTGCTTAGTTTCCACTACTGTGTCATGGGCATATGCAGGCTGACCACAAGTACAAGTGAAGCAGCTATGGAATCCTGAACATTTGGAACCTAAACCAAGATGTAAAGAGAGTTAAATGTTTTTAAACATAGGTACTAAGCTGTCTACCCTAAAAATGCTCAGCTTGGCCAAAATCACTTGACTCCAGATCCCTCATATGCTACCCTCTGGCTCCTGTAACTCCTACCTCCAGCCCTGAACTCCCTTCCAGCCATTGCTCTTACTTCTAAAAGACACAAGAGTGGGAAGGGCAGTTCTGGCAGAAAAAAAATACATTGGAAAAACCAACTAGGACTGAAAGAGAATGGGCTAAACACTGAGAAGCCAGGAAATGCAGAGCCTTTCCTCAAATACTGAGTTAAAAGCAGATGTGGCAGGATATGCCAGAGACCAGGTCCAGGTGAAGAGATAATGTGGAAACCTCCCTATGGACCAATTTCCCATAAAAGCCATACTGAAAAGCCAACCCATAGACATAGAAAAGCTGCAAAAGAATACTGTTTAACAATAAAAAAGAAATAACTACTGATACATGCTACTACATGGATGAATCATAAAAACCTTATGCTAAGTGAAAGAAGCCAGTTACAAAACACCACATATTCTATCAGTCCATGTATATGAAATGTCTAGAATAGGCAAATTGATAGAGACAAAGTAGATTATTGGTTGCCTAGGGCAAGGGGGAATAAGGAATGACTGCTAATGGATATGGAGTTTCTTTTGGGGGTGACAAAAATGTTCTAAAATTTACTGTGGTGATGGTTGCACAACCTTCCATTTATTTGTGTATTTTCCAGTTTTTTGGAAAATTAAATTGTAGCCCTGAAATGGGCAAGTTGAATGCTATATAAATGATATCTTAATAAAATTGTGTGTGTGTATGTGTGTGTGTGTGTGTGTGTGTGTAGCCATACTAAAGTGGAGGTCAGAATACATCATTAACAAAATCTTTACACACTCACACTTCTGACAAAATGTGTATGGGAACCAACGCACATGAGTTTTAGCCAACTACTTTCGTATTTAGCCAATGAAACACATTTATTCCTGCAACTGTCACTAAAAATTGCTTTATATTTCATCATAATATTTCAATTCAATGTACTACAAAAACAACTGAAATACTATCTTCTGAAGAAAAATACTGGACTAATATCCTACCCACTTCAAAGGGTTTTTGAAAGGATGATCTAGTATAAGGGCGTATGCAGGCTACAACTGGGTATAGGTATTGAGGTAAAGGTGCTATTGCATCTAAAGTGTTAAAATTATCATGCTACATTTTGCTTTTCCCGTCAGCCTATGTTTTAGGTGATAACATAATAATCTACAAATTACAAATTTTTATTGACTTATAAATTCCTTTCATAAATCTATAAATAGAATTTAGTTGATAAAACTCCCTCTATTCAAAAATTTGAAGCCGATCACATCTAGTGATTCTTTAAAATCTATTACCATTAATTGATTTATTTGAATTAGATGAGATTAGGGTTTATGATTGCAAAGCAAACTAGTAACTCAGGGTTTTTCCCACAAAAATAGAATTGTAGAGTAGCTATCCATCAAATTTTTCTTAGTTGTTTCATATTGACTCTATAACTGAATAAAACTGGCACAAAACACATTAAATATTCATTAAAGAAATAAAGACATTCTGTCAGTGTATTTATAATAATGTAACTCACAGGCGTTGCACGTAAAGCCAGGTGAAGCACTGTGCTGATCGGCAAAGTGCTTGCACCTGCAGCGAATGGGCTGTGCCCCATTCAAAGGGACATAACGGTAAGCCCTGCACTGGCAGCCGGGCACTTGGCAAGGCAGACTAATGGGGCGCTGCTGTGGAAGCGTTTCAAAGTCGGTTTTATGTTGTTTATATCTAAAAAAAAAAAAAGAAAAAGAAATAAAAACACGATGCAGGTATTGCCAAAAATTGCCATTTCTATTCTATTAAGTGCAAAATGATTGTTTGTTTCGTTGTTCTTGTTAGTAAGGTGAAAATAAACTTCCCTACCTGCAGTATATCTGTCAGCTTTGTTGCTTTGGTCAGAGAAAATCTTCACTTTTAGATTTTTATTTTTAGTTATTTACAGTTATTTACATATTGAAGAATTTTCACAATAATATACAAAGAAATAGCATATAATTCCCTTAAAATACTTACCACTACAGATTCCTTAAAATGGAAACAACATAAGAGTGTGAAAAAAGTTCTTTATATTCTTTTTATCAAAGTGTATTACTTAAATTTATTTTTACAGGTGTGTGCTATTTAAATTGAAATAAGTTCAATAAACATATATTAATGTATTTTACTATAATTTGCTTTTTAAAATAGGCCACTCGATTCCTTTTCATAAAGTGATACTCAATAAAATATTAAATTAGTCTCAATATTAATCTAGGTAATAGAAGTTAAAATAACAATGAGACATCATTTTTCACTTAGCAAAGAGAGTCAGTTTTTTTAAACTATATATAATTCACAATTATGCCAAGAGTGTCAGAAAAGAACCAATGCCATTTAATGTTTTAAGTTAGGTAGACTCACCCTTTAACCCAGACAGTTCACATTTGAAAATATACACTAAGAAAATAATTCCATGTATAGAAACAGCTTTGTGCATAAAAATATCATTAGCAAATGTACTTACAATAGCCAAAAAAATTACACACACACACACACACACACACACACACACACACACCATATAAATAAGAGAGAAT